GTCAGGGCACATGCCTGGGTTGCAGGCTTGATCTCCAGCAGGGGGTGTACAAGAGGCAGCTGGTCAATGACTCTCATTCAGCATTGATGATTTTATCCCTCTCCCTCTCCCTTTCTTGCTATAAAATCAATAAAAATATACTAAAAAAAGAGAAATTGCTGAATCAATGAGCATGTCCATTTAACATTTTAACAGAATCGTCAACTTGACTTTCAAAGAGCTTATACCAGTTTACACTTGCCATCAGTATATTATAGACCTCACACCCTTTCCAGCTCAATATTGCATCAAAACTTGTGATCTTTCAGTCTGAAAAGTAAAAAACGGTTATTGCACTGTGGTTTTAATTTTCATTTATTGGAAGTGGAACTTCTTTTTCATTTAAAAACTTTATGTCTTTCTTGTGATCTTGCTGTTCCTTTCTCTTGCCCATTTCTATTGTCTTTCTGACTGGTACACATGAGATCCATAAGGGGAACTATTTCTTAGTCATTTGTGCTGAAAATATTAAATACTTTTACCCTCTTTGTCTTTTAACCTATTCACAGGATGTTCAGAAGCTTTATTCTATAATCATATTTACTAATCTTTTCTATTATGGCTTCTGGATTTTTAAAGTTCTTGCTTAGGAAAACTTCCCTCTGAAATTGTAAAAACTATTATCCCGTTTTCTTTTAGTACTTCTATTTTTTTATTTTAGAGGAGGGGAAAGAGAGAGGGAGAAACATCAATTTGTTGTTCCGTGTACTTATGCATTCATTGGTGGTTTCTGGTATGTGCCTTGACTGGGGATGGACCCTGCCACCTTGGCGTATCGGGATGATACTCTAACCAACTGAGCTACCCAGTCAGGGCTCTTTTAGTACTTTTATGGTTTTGTTCTTTACACTAAAATTCTTGAATATATCTGAAATTTATTATGTTCTAAATAGTGAGAAAAGAACCCAACTTCATCACAAAACTATCAATTTGTTTCTCATTTATAAAATAAAACTGAGTGTTGTTTTACAAATACAGGGGTGGGCAAAAGTAGGTTTACAGTTTTGAGTACATGAAATGCAGAGTTTATTCTTGTATTTTTATTATTGCATTATTTATTTGTATTATAACTAGAAACCTACTTTTGCCCACCCCTGTATTCTTCAATTTTGATAAGAATTTTACACTCTACTTACTATATACTTAGATATCCAAGAAATAATTACCACCAAATGACTGCAGAATAATTTAATTAACATGTTAATTTTATTTGAAACCATCACTAGCTGCATTTATGGTAATACAGTTTTAAACTTTGCAGTGCTCAACCATAATCAGTTCAAACAGGAATTTCTTATAAACATTTTATTACCACATAGTGGCTGACAATTGAGTTAAAAAGCATAGGTTTTCAGGTTGTCGTAGGTATGGCTCTTCTAGCCATATAAGAAATGATATTCTATACTTGTACAGATTGAACAATTCCACTGAGAGACAGGTATTTCTTTAATAGGCTAAACAGGAACTAGATGAAAGTACTACATAATAAACTGAGGGCCACAGATGCCTCTAACTGATTTTCCTTTTTTTAAAAATGTTTTTAATGATTTTAGAGAGAGAGGAAGGGAGAGGAATAGAGATAGAAACACTAACATCAATCGGCTGCCTCCTGCACGCCCCCTACTGGGGACCGAGCCCACAACCTGTGCATGTGCCTGACTGGGAACTGAACCGGTGACGACCTGGTTCATGGGTTGATGCTCAACCACTGAACCACACCAGCCAGGCTCCAAGTGATTTTCTTATTTGGAAGAAAACATAAACTTTATTTCCTTTAAAATTCCAGGCCTTCTTCATAAAAGTTAAAAAAAATTCTGAGTAGCTGAAGAAAATGCTGATATATTACATGTCATATTGTGATGGGGAAGTACCGGGCCTCGGTACCACAGAACTACATAGAATGAGGACCTAACATTGTCTAGGAAGCCAGGAAAGATCTACTGGAAGAAATGTTTATGTTGAAACCTAAAGGATGAGACAAGCTAGACAGGCAAATGGGGCCACATGGCCCAGGATTTGAAAGGCAGCTAGACTGTGTTCTGCTTGCCTGTGGCTAATGTTTGTGTCCTCACAAGGCAGCAGATTAGAAAACCAGACAAGGCATTTCTTTATACTGGCCCTCAAACTGATCTTTTTTGGTACACATATGGCTCGTTTATGAAGAAGACAGCATTAGAATTAAAATCAGTATTAAAGTTAAGGAAAAGAGTAATTAAACCTGTAACATAGCCTGGCCATGTGTAGCTCAGAGGTGGAGCGTAGGATCCAGGAGATTGTGGTTTGATTCCCGGTCAGGGCACATGCCCGGGTTTCGGGCTCAATCTCCAGTGGGGGATGTGCAGGAGGCAGCCGACCAATGACTCTCATCATTGATGTTTCTCTCTCTCTCTCTCTCTCTCCTTCTCCCTTCCTCTCTGAAATCAATAAAGATATATTTAAAAAAACAAAACCCCTATAACCCAGAGCATAAAGCACTGAATCACAAGTATCTTGAAATTTCTCCTTTATAAACATATTTACTAAACAAAGAAGGAAACAAAATATTCAGGAGCAAAGTTCAGCTATTAATTTAAAAATAGAAACTATTTGCCTTGGCCAGTGTGCTCAGTGGTTAGAGCATCGGCCTGTGCACTGAAGGGCTGCTGGTTCGATTCCCAGTCAAGGGCACGTACCTGGGTTGTGGGTTCTCTCCCTGGCCCTGGTCCGGGCTCGTGCAGGAGGCAACCAATTGATGCACATCAAAGTTTTCTCTCTCTCTCTGCCCCTCTCCCTCCCTTCCACTCTCTCTCAATGGGTAAAATAGCCTCAGGTGAGGATTAATAACAACCAAAAACACGTGTGTGTGTGTGTGTGTGTATATTTTTTAATATATATGGACTATTTTAACTATACAAGTAAGTTGTTTTTACGGATTATATGAAGGATTATTATAAGTCACTGAGTTGAGTTCCCAATATTAGAGATATCACAAACTAAACAAGATGATTTCTGACCATTTACAGACAGTCCTTGACTTAACAATGGTTCAACTTATGATTTTTTGACTTTATGACTGTGTGAAAGCAATTTGCTTTCAGTAGAAACCCTACTTCAAATTTGAATTTTGATTTTTTCCTGGGCTAGCAATATGTGGTACGTTACTCTTTTGTGATGCTGGACAGTGACATGGAGATGATTTTGACCAACTATAGGCTAATGTAAGTGTTCTGAGCATGTTTAAGGTCGGCCAGGCAAAGCTATGATGATTGGTAAGTTAAGTGTATTAAATGCATTTTCAACTTATAATAGATTTATTGGGATGTAAACCCCATTGTAAGTCAAGAAGCATCTGTATAAAACCTTTTCTAGTTGTTAACATTTTGATTACATAAGAGTACTTTGCGGAAGGCTGATGTTCCAAGTAAAACAATACCTTAAAAATATGAAAAGCTATGTAAATTCAGTTTCCTTAGTAGCATGTACTTTGTAAGCTATAGATTTCAGAATATGTAACTGGGATAGTACTACACTAATCTTTTTAAGGCTATGTATATAACCCAGCTCTGCCAATAGTTCTGTAACTTAGGGCAAACATATATTCTAAAATTCACTTTATCTCTGAAATAAATCATATAATACTTATATAAGGTTACTTTCAACTCTAAAAAATCTATGACTACTTGTATTTCATTAGGTATATGTTACTTGATTTCTCTGCATTTTAGCTACCCAAATGAATCAGGAAACATGCACAGTAAATAAAACTTAGTTCCACTGACAAGCAGAAAAGGGACACACACACACACACACACACACATATTTAAAGGATTTACAATAGTTCTTTGTTAAGCAAAATTGGTGTGGCTACAGGATGAGAGGAGCTATCTAAGTTATAGTCAACACAGACTGTTTACTTAAAGATTATAATTGTGTTTATATATAACGTATCACAGCATAAAAGAACACCCCATTTGGATCTCTTAAGGTACAAGGTAGACATACAGGGTGGGACAAAAGCAGGTTTACAGTTGTTCCTATGGAAAATGCAATAATTAATAAATAATAAAACAAGAATAAACTGTTTCCTGTACTCACAACTATAAACCTACTTTTGCACCGCCCTGTATATTTGCTGAGTGGTGTCATCTCTGGATGTCTGTATACTGGGTGTGAGTGTAGATTCAAGCTTTCCCTGGGTTTCTTTCAAGGGCTCTTCTTTATCTTCATTCAGTACTTCTCTCTATTCCTGTTTTCCTTCTACTTAAACAGGCTGCTATTCTTTTTTTTTAATTAAATTTGTGGGGTGACATTGGTTAAAAAAAGTATATAGGTTATTATTAATTGCATTGTTGTTATTAAGATGAGAACTGCCATTCTTTTTTTTTTTTTGGTCACCCGAGGATAGTTTTTTTTATTGATTTTTTAGAGAGAGGAAGGGAGGGGAGAGAAAAAGAAACCAGAAACACGGATCTGTTGCCTACTGTATGAGCCCTGACCGGGGAGCAAACCTGCAACTCAGATATGTGTCCTGACCAGCAATCAAACCACAGCCTTTTGGTGTCTGGGACAACACTCCAACCAACTGAACCACCCAGCCAGGGCCAGACTGCCTTTCTTATATTCAATACCCAATTTCATCACTTGCTCATGTCAGTTCTTAGAAATGTTTTTGCCCATGAACCATGACATGTACTTTTTATAACAGAAGCAGAAAAGATGCAGATACCACACAAATTAATTCAACAAAAGCCCTGGCTGGTGTGGTTCAGTTGACTGGGAGTTGACAGTGCACGAAAGGTTGCTGGCTGGATTCCAGTCAGGGCACATTCCCAGGGTTGTGGGCTCAGTCCCCAGTGGGGGGCATGCAGGAGGCAGCCTATTGATGTTTCTCACTCCCTCTCTCTCTCCTAAAAATCAATAAAAAATCTTAAAAAAAAAAGTAGAAAAATAAAAATTTAGTTGCCAACTTAGAGGATTTTACATATTATTAAGTGTTCTGTTCTTTATTTCCATGGTCTGAAATTTCTCACTCAAGAAAACAGATTCATTTATAAACATTTATTACATCTTTCTTTGTTGGAAACAGAGGTTTTTTTCTTTGACAGAACTGTCCCAGGGGAACAAAACAAATGCTTCTCCAAAGTAGAGCAGAAGTCTTCCTTAAACGTCAGTGTGTGATAACTAAGATATGGTTGCAGTCTTTTTTTTTTTGAACGCTTCCCAAATTTGCACGTCATCCTTGCGCGGGGGCATCCTAATCTTCTCGGTGTCATTCCAATTTTAGCATATGGGCTGCAGAAGAGGGCATAGTCACAGTCTTAGATTTCATAAAGGCTACTGTTAACATGGTGGTTTTGGCCGTTTTGCAGATGGTCCATCTGAGTTAGTTCTGTTATCAATGTTATTTTCATCTTCCTCATCATCTTCATCATCACCTTTTAAAATAAATATTTGTATGACAACATGGTCAGCAGTTGAAAGGAATATAATTAAAATGGTTGATAATGTGACCATTTCACTTTAGGATTAATAAAACCATGCATATTCCAGATCTGAAGTATATATCATTAAAATAATTTCAGTAATTTTGGTGCTTAAAACCTTTCCTATCACTTTTTTTGAAGATATAATTCATATAACCATAAAATTCATTGTTATAATGTATACAGCTTATAGATTTTTAGTGTAATCACCACCACTATCTAATTCCAGAACACTCTCATCATGCCAGAAAGAAATCCCATACCCATTAGCAGTCACTTCCTATTCCCCTCAGTCCTTGGCAATCACTCATCTTTCTAGCTCTACAGATTTGTTTATTCTGGACATTTTATATAAATGGAATCATACAATATGTAGCCTTTTGTGACTGGCTTCTTCCACTCAGTATAATGTTTTCAAGGTTCATTCATGTTGTAGCACATATCTGTACTTCATTCCCTTTTACTGCTGAACAATATTCCACTGTGAAATCTTGTTTATCCACTCATCACTTGATGAGCATTTGTGCTGTTTCCACGTTTTAGCTATTATGAATGATGCTTTTATGAACACTACTGTATAAATTTTTGTCTGAACAGATGTTTCCAATTCTCTTGGGAAAACTAGGAGTGGGATTTCTGCGTCATGTGGTAACTTTATGTTTAACTTTTTGAGGAACTGCCAAGTTCTTTTCCAAAGAAGGTGCACCACTCTACATTTTCACCACCAATGTATGAGGGCTCCAATTTCTTCATACACTAGCCAACACTTGCTATTGTTCTTTTTGATTATAGCCATCCTAGTGGGCATGTAATGGTATCTCACTGTGGTTTTGATTTGCATTTCCCTGCTGGCCAATGATGTTCAAACATCTTTTCATGTGCTTATTGGCCCCACATATCCTTTTTCAATTTTATTTTTTCCATTACCATTTATTTCCTCTATGCCCTCTTCTACCCCCAACTCTCCTCCCCGAACATATCTTTTTTGGAGAACTGTCTATTCAAATCCTTTATATATTTGGTAATTGGATTACTTGTATTTTTAGTGTTAAGTTCTATCACTTTTCTTTAGTACTTATTTTTTATTTCATACATTATTTGTTAACTGGGGATATAATTCATATAACATAAAATTCACCATTTTGTCCCTAACACTTTTTTTCCCCCCATGGGAAAGACTGCTTTAAGGGTGGCAGTTAGTACAAGTCAACAAATATTGATCCCCAAAGAAGAACTCAGTAATTTATCAGCTTACTGGCCCATAGAGAGCTGAGTGAAACTGACCCAGCTGACTGCTGGGAGTATAACTGAAGTCAGTCCTGCTTCTTGGGAAGTGAAGCCACAGCCAGCTGATATACAGCGTTTGCTGTTCCACCAACTGTAAGAATCACGGCAGCTCTATACAGGAGGCACCAGCTACCCCACCCTTCAGATGCACTGGAATTCCACTGTCCTCCTGAAATATGATTTGTTTCCCTGGAACTTTATTTTCAAACTGCCTGTGTAAAGCAGTACTTGTGGTCCTCTGGGCAATCTGACAAAGAGCCAGCAGATTCTGCAGCATGTTGGCTCAGTTATTCTTATCTCCATCACTTTTAACAAAGGTAATTCAAACCTAAGCTTTATGGGGATTTCATTAAGCCAATAATAAAAAAACATGTTAAAGATATTACTGACCCACTGTGGTTTTTTTTCAGACTGTAAGAGAAAGTTTATTTAGAAAGTCACAGAGGCAGAAGAAGTGAGTTGCAGAAGAAATGAGCTCAGGAAAAAGTTAGAGAGGCAAAAGAAGGGCCCTTGGAGCTTAGGAGAAAGAGAGGCAAGGAAACCAAGCCTAGGGGAAGGGGGTGGGGAAAGGCACCTGGTCTGCTCCATAGAGAGGGGCAGACTGGGTCCTAGGTCCTAAGGGTTTTTAAAGGTGAGGATTTTAGGGGGGGTCCCAGGGGAGGATCTCAATAGAATATTCATGAGCTTTCCAGGAGCATCCTTTCAGGGTCGTGGTTTCCACTGATTGGTCTGTCATTAATCAATGCAGCTTGACCCACCATTAACAGAACAGGTGGCAGTTATTTTTCCAATAAGTAATGAGAGATTTTAAAAAATGTTATCTATGCCAATGATAACATTTTCAACAGATTAGAGAGGTACTTCTGGAGCCAAGAAACAGGACTTCACTCTCCTTATATGTGACATGGAAACAATCTATTATCTGAACTCGGTGTAATGTTCCAAACTGGCTCCTTCACATTATCTGGAACTATCAAGATGTAATCAAGATGCAAAAGAAAGAAAAGGAAAGTACAGAGTTTAAGCTACACTACAGAAAGAAGTTAAGCCCTGACTCCAATATTTAGTTCATAGGTTCTTCAGTTCAGGGCAGTCAAAATGTACCTACCTATTTTTGCATTCAAGAAAAGCTTTAAAAAAAAATATTAACCCAGTTCAATTTCACGTTTCTACTTTCAAACTGCACCTTTACAAAACTGGGATGTGGGAGAGTAGTGCCTGGAGTCCTAAGACTCCTTAAACTGAAGTCTGTCCCAATCTTGGGAACCTGTTCTATCCTTAGACAGGTGGCAGTCTTCCACACGTTTGTAACTTCACACGTGGTAAATAAAACTCCTTTTCACCCTTCAACACCCAGCTCAAGTCATGCCCTCTCGGAAGCCTTCCCAGGCTCTCTCGACTTGCAGTAGTTACACATGGGCCTGTGGTGATACTTCCACTTTTTAATAAGAGTGTCTGCCCTGTTTAAGCCCTCCCCACTCTAAGGCCGGTCCCCAAGGACAGCAACTGAGTCACGTTCACCTCAGGCTGTTTCTTTCTTTCGATTTGAGAGAGAGAGGAAGGCGGAGAGTGAGCGAGAGAAACATCCATATGGTGCTCCACTTATTTATGCACCCACTGGTCGATTCCTGTGTGTGCCCTCTCCGGGGCTGGGACCCTCAACCTTGGCACATCTGGACGTCGCTCTAACCAACTGAGCTACCCGGCCAGGGCCCACCTCACTCTCTCTCCAGAGCTCAGCCCAATGCCTGGCACAAAGCAGGCGTTCAGCACGTTTTCTTGCTTGTTTGTGCGTGTGCGCGTGAGATACAAATGAAATAGAGTCGTGAAAACGCTCGGGTAGAAGCAGCGCAGATCAGTCAGCCCGGATTCCGCTCAGATAGGGCGGAAGGCGTCAACAGTTTTTAGGTGGAATTTTTGTTCCCTCGCGGCTCACGTTTTTCAAGTCTGCTCCTCTACACCGGCTGCTCCAACAGATTTTCCCCGGGCTCCCCTTCCCCGCCCTCCAGTCTCCGAGCTCACCGTTCAAGGCCTCGTCTGGAGCCGCCGCCGCCCCGTCCTGCGCTTCCCGCTGTACCTGGGGGTCCAGGAGCTCCGCCACCAACTCCCTCATGCGGGCCACGCCCGACAATAGGCCCTGGAAAGGGTCGGCGTTGCCCAGCGCCTCGCAGGGGACCCGCAGCTGCCGCGGCTGTCCACCCAGCGCAATATACTCGCCCGAAATCTCCATGGCAACCGCTGAGCTTCCAGAACGCTCCGCGGGAGAAGTACCACCCGGAAGCGGAAACCAGCCCGCCGCGGGCGCAGGCGGGAGAAGGGAGAGGAGTGACTTCCGTTTGTCGGAAGTCGCTCCGCCCCCTTCCTTCGTTTCCTCTTTTGGGGATTGGTTCCTGGCGCTCAGGACCCGCCTCCTCCGGCCACGCCTCCCGTGGTCGCTTTTCCCGCCTCCGCCGGGGCGAAGCTGCGGAGCGGTGACAGTTGAGGATGGCCGGAGCCGAGGGTCCGGCGGGGCGGCAGTCAGAGCTGGAGCCCGTAGTGTCGCTGGTCGACGTGCTTGAGGAGGATGAGGAATTGGAGAATGAGGCGTGCGCCGTATTGGGCGGCAGCGACTCCGAGAAGTGCTCCTACTCGCAGGTGGGCGCGCGGCGGGGGCCTCGCCTCCCTCGGGCTCCCGCGGAACCTTCTCTGCCCTGCCGGACTCTCCCTACCCCCGCGTGGCGCGGTCGTCTTCCCCATGGTGGACCGGGGCCGCCCTTTGTCGCAGGCCTCCCCATCCCAGGCCCACTGCCCTTTTACCCTCAGCCTCCTGGGCCGCCTTCCTCAGCCAGCGTCCACCAGGGGTCCCCTCCTCCCTCGGTCGCCCTCGTGCCACTCAGGGTCCTCCGGGCTTCGGCCCTGGAGCAGCTGCTCGATTCTTCCTCTCCTGTCCCTTCTCGGTGCCCGGCTGCTTTTCACGAAACCATCCCCGTGACCTTTCAGACATCTTTGTCCCTACTTTTCCTGTCCTAAGAGTTTTTATTAGGAACCGAATGGGAGAGTCAACGCAGAGTTAAAGGAGAGAGCCCTGGGTTTGAAAATCTCCCCTTATGGGCTGGGCTCCTTGACAGCTAGTTCCTCTGCAGTGTAGTTTAGCTGGTAGTTCTTTGGCGAGACGAAACAAGTACCTTGCCGTTCTGCAGCCGGCCCCTCATGGGGATAGGAACCAGAACAGCAGATGGCACTGGCAAGAGGGCGGGGGGAGGGGAGAGGAGGATCTGCTTGAAGAGGAAATTTGGCGTTTGGAAGACGTTGTGAACAAGAATTTGAGGGGGCGTGATGCAGTGTTGGGTGACTCATCCTGTATATTTCTAGGTACAAAAATGGATTGAGGTGGGTACGAGAAAACTCACAAGGGATGAGAATTGGTAGGATGAAGAAGGTTGTCTTCCAGGGCAGTGCAATGGAGCATTGGGGAGTGAGGAGAGAGTCTTGGGGTCTTTATGTGGTGTGGGCTGAGATCATAATACCAGTTGTTGTCTCTGACCAGTTGAGTTTACACTGCAAAGTGGTTCGATTTTTAAATCCACCTGGTATCCAGAGATAGTGCCAGATGTTGGCTGGTATTTTAAAACCTTTGGTCACCACTAGAACAACTTATCTTCTGCTTTTTTTTAAAAAAAAGTGGGTAGGTAAGCTATTTTCGAAATGTAGTTAGCTTTATAAAACGGACCTGCTTAAAATTTTTTTTTTATTGTAGTAAAATATGTGGAAAATTGCACAGATCATGCGTAGGGTTTGAAAACAAACACATGCAGGTACCTACCACACAGATCAAGAAATAGAGCATTCCTGGCATTCCTGAAGCTCCCCTGTGTCTTCTTCCTTCATACAGGAGGGTAATCATCAAAGGTGGTTACAAGTTTTGCCTGTTTTTCCATCAACTTTTTATTTTGAAACATTTTTAAATTACAAATAAGTTGAAAAAATAATATCACCACTTGTGTATCTTTTACATATATTTATTTTTTAGCATTTTACATTTATCTTTTTCCTCTTCTTTATAATATACTTTCTCTTTTGTGATGAATCATTTGTAAATAAGTTGCAGATGTCACTACACTACACTTCTAAATGTTTCAGCATGCATCTCCTAAAGAAAATCAAAGGGTTTTTTTTTTAATGCATTGATTTTTGTCTTTCATGGAATCAAGCATTTTCCAAAGTTAAAGTGTGTTATTACTTACATCAACCTACACACATTCTACATTTTCATGTGTTAAAATGATTAAGCAGACCAGCTTATTCACAGCTGATTGAAAATATTAAGCTTCCTATCACTTTAAGAAAAATTGTATGAAAACAAGCACTAGTATAGTGCATACATAGTGATACAAAACATGCAGCAGTGTTATGGCACTCTCTTGTGAAGCTTTGTCATTAGTCTTAGTGGCTTTTACAGGAAGATCCTGACCACAGAAAATCTGATTTCAATTATTTCTCAGATCACAGTGTGGGTATTAGGTAACCATGCCATATTTCATTAATTCTCTTTTTCCATTTTGGGGCTGTCTTTTAGAGCTCAGTAAAGAGACAGGCACTATATGCCTGTAGTACCTGCACCCCTGAGGGAGAAGAACCAGCAGGAATTTGCCTAGCTTGCAGTTATGAATGTCATGGAAGTCATAAATTATTTGAGCTATACACAAAAAGGTAAAGACAGTCAGAGGTTGGTGCTGAATGCTTTTTAAATGTTTAGATTCTTTCCTAGCTGCATTTTTTTCTTTATCTTGCTTTTGCATTCAAAGTAGCAGTGTACTGGTAAATTTATTATAGTTATTTTATATAATTTGAGACTAGTTTTTCTAGAGGGCCTTTTATAATATAATTATGGTATAAACTCAAACTACTCATCCTTCTCTGCCATTAATTTACTTGTGTGTCTACAGAGTTATTAAATCTTTTATTGTTATATGCTTGGAGAAATTCTGAATTGGATACATGAGCAGCGTCCAAGGCCACTTTTTAATCTTAGAAATGAGTTGAAAGGGAAGAGGCTATGATATGAATTTTAAAACTTCATTAGGTTTAAAATAAAAATTAAAATTGGCTCTTTCTTTGTTTCAGAAATTTTCGTTGTGATTGTGGAAACAGCAAATTTAAAAACTTGGAGTGCAAATTATTTCCTGTAAGTAAGCATTGTAACTATAAATGCATTGAAAATATACCCTGGCCATGTAACTCAGTGGTTAGAGCATCGGCCCACACAACGAAGAGTTGCGGGTTCGATTCCTCGCTAAGGGCATGTACCTGAGTTGTGGGTTCGCTCCCGTCCCGTTGGGGCTAGTATGAGAGATAACCAGTTGATGTGTCTCTCTCACATTGATGTTTCTCTCTCTCTGCCCCCTGCTCTTTGTCCCCTCTTTCCCTCCCTCCCTCTGCCTCCCTGAAAAGCAATGGAAAAAATATCCTCAGGTGATGATTAACCAAAAAGGAAAGAAAATAGCTGAGATTGATATTTGACAGAGTGGATAAAAACCAGATATTTTCCAAAACGGAGTTCTTATGCTTATTCTTTGCAAATCAATATTAGACTCAATTTTTTACCCTGTTGGAAAACTAAGTAACCTGTTTAGAGCCTACAGTATAGATTATAATTAATATGAAGGTTTTGGGGAAATGTTCTCTGCAATGATTCAGTCTTAATTATGTTGGTTGTGCTCATGCTCTAGGCTTTTAAAGCAAAGGGTATGACTATAAAAACTGGATAAATAATACTTGGTAATAATGAATGTGGGCTAGATGCACGCAAGAGTTTTTATTGCTTTTTGGTTAATAAAAACTATGCTTATACAATAACTTTAAATGAAATAACAGAAATGAAAGAAAGTAAAGGATTTTATGTTGTTCAATCATAATTGCTAAAACTGTTGTGCTTTAATCTCCTTTGAAGATTATTTTTAGACAACTTTCTTGTCTGCTTTTTATTTTTACATCCTAGTAACTGGGGGCTTTGGCTATTACATCTGGCTGTTAAGTACTTTGATATTCTAGGCCAATGTCAGTTTACATAGGTTGATAATTAATACTTATGATTAAATTTCATTACTTATTTACTTATTTATTTATTAATCCTCACCTGAGGATATATTTTCCATTGCTTTTCAGAGAGAGTGGAAGGAAGAGAGAGAGACATCAATGTGAGAGAGACAGTGATTGGTTGCCTCCTGCATGTACCCAGTCAGGGGCTGGGGATTGAGCCTGCAATGGAGGTATGTGCCCTTGGCTGGAATCGAACCTGGGACCCTTCAGTCCACGGGCCAATGCTCTAACAACTGAGACAAACCAGCTGGGGCTCATTGTTATCTTATTAAATGAGTATATTCAGTTTCCCCCAATTGCTACAAAGAAGGTACAAAAAAATGATTTTTCTCTTTTCCCTGTATCCTGGAAAAAGTATCCCTTTAACAGGAGTGAATTCTTTTTCTTCGTGTATTTAATGCAGAAATTTGTTGAATACAGAAATGTCAGGACGCATGAAATTATAATTAAACTAAGACCATTTATATTGAAATTAATATCTTTCAGGACAAAGCAAAGATAAATTCTGGCAATAAGTATAATGACAACTTTTTTGGATTGTACTGCATTTGTAAGAGACCTTATCCTGATCCTGAAGATGAGGTAAGAGCACTATGGGCTAACACCTGGAACTATGTCATCTCTAGCCTTCACTCCTCAGCCTCTTGTCATATCTGGGCCTCTGTAGCTGTTCAGGTGGAATTGGGGGATGGTGAAAGGATTCTAGATTTATCCTTTTTGATGAATCTGGGCCGGGTCTCTACCTGGTACAGATTTCAAGTGTTCTCATTCTCACATCATGAGAGTGAGATACTGATTAGGTCTTTCTTAAGGCCAGGACTTTACGTCTTCCTGCCCCTCTTTGCCTGCCTGCCTGCTCTACTCCCCTGAATGCTTCCAAAAATAACCTTCAATTTCTTGCCTCCCCGGAAAGAAATAGTGTGTACAAACGATCCTCTTAAAATTTTCAATTAGAAATATACACAAAACTTAAAAAGAGTTCTTCTTCCTCACTCCTGTACCTTCTCTCTCCTGGACATGACCACTGTTAACACCTTTTCAGTGTATATGTTTTAGACCTTTTTCTGTGCACATATAAGTGAGTGGATGTATGTTTCACTTGATAGTTTTCCTTTTCACAAAAGTGAAAATTCTATACATTCACTTCTGCAACTTTTCTCACTTATCAGTATATCTTTGACAAGCCGTAAATTAGTTACCTAAATATTCTATAGCAGAATGGTATTTTCTATTTTTTCATTATTATAAAGAAAGCTGCAGTGAAGACCCTTATATAGTAATGTAAGTAAACTTCTGCAGGATTTATATAGAACGGATACCTAAAGGTAGAATTGATGGGTCAAAGAATATTTGTATTTAAAATTGTGATCATGTCTGTGAAAAGGTTTTAGCCACCAACATATGATACTGTCTTTTCCCCAACACTTGTCATCCCTACATATTTACCAGTCTTTTAAAATTTTGCCACCCTAGTAGATGAAGAACTGTATCTTTTAAAAATTTTCCTCGCTCATGAGTGAGGTTATGCATCTTTCCATGAGTTTATTAGAAATTTGTAATAACTTTCTTTCTGAATTGTCCTTTCATATCTTTGGCCCATACTGTTATTGGGTTGGATTTTATTTATGTATTTACTGATTTGAAAGGAGTCTTTTTGTATTTAATGAAATTAGCTTTTTGCTGTCTTCCTTTCTTTTGTCTTGGAATTGTAATTATTGAACCAAATTATTTAGAGGAAAAAAATTAAAGATATCTTTGAGTTAATAAAGATAAAATTGGATATTTTAAGGTATGGAGTAAAGTGTTACAACACTTTTTTTGTATGTGTCAAAAGAGAAAAAAATAAGATGATGAATAAATTGATCAAGGCAGAAGAATAAAACTGATGATATATATGGGTTTTTTCCTGTAAGAACCCATAATTGAGAAAGGACAGAGTAACATTGGAATGTTAATCAGTAGATGTGAAAGCCTGGAAATAAAAGGAAAATCATTCTAAAATTAGTTGATGCCCTATGATATATAATTTTCTTAGACCATAATGTAATTTAATTTATTCAAATTAGGGAAGTTGTTACTATTTATATTATCAAGAGATTGTAACATTTATTTTTCATTTATGTGGCAGTATGGTGTAAAAAAGTCCCAGTTGTCACATTCTATATTGGACAGTTTATATTACTTCCCTGGGGCTTGGGTTTATGTTTATGTGTAAAATGAGAATACATTACTCACAAATGTTTGTGAGAATCACATATTAAGTAACTGATGTGAAAGAGCTTTGACAGTTGCTTGCAAAGTGTATATTACATTGTAACCCCTTTCTACCACCAGTTCATGTAGAACTAACTTCTCTTTGGCCCCTTGATCTGCTGTCTTCCCTGTCCCCTTGGATGTCCCTGTAGATAGCGGTCTTACAGATTTAGTAGAGAATTATTTAATAGCTAATTCTACTGTGTGCCAGATTTACTTCAGTGTCTCTGAATTCAGTGTAATCATTAATGTACAAACCGCTTTTCCATGTTAGATTCCAGATGAGATGATCCAGTGTGTAGTCTGTGAAGACTGGTTCCACGGAAGGGTAAGGAAAACTATTACTTTGAAAAGCCATTGTTTTCGTAAAAGGAGGAAACGTCTTTGCTTTTCGAATTGTGTTATATTTTATATTATAGTTAGTCTTCTAAAAATACCCTATGAAGATCTGATCAGTGTACTATTGTAATATATGTTTATAAAATAACAGAGCATTTTGTACAACTTGGAGATCACAAGAAAAATACTTAGTTTTCTGTATTCACAGCATCTTGGTGCCATTCCCCCTGAGAGTGGGGATTTCCAGGAGATGGTGTGCCAGGCCTGTATGAAACGCTGCTCTTTCTTGTGGGCTTATGCTGCACAATTGGCAGGTAAGTGTCTCTGGAGTTGTGCCACAAACTTGTGCTTGTGAAAACTTGTCTGTTCAGCCCATAATTTTTAGCAACTATTTTTAACTGGACTCTGAGGTATAGAAAAAAGTATAAGATGTGTTCTTTCTCCACGAAGTGCTTATTGATTGGTTTAGGAGACCTCCAAGAACAAATTTGTCCTTAAATGGCATGATGCAGAGTATGGATGAGACCACAATCAGAGAACATGAAGGAGGTGGTTTTTGAATGGAACTTTGAAAGATAAATAGAACCCAAATAAGTTGTTTTTAAATGTAGGATGTGCTATTGATTGGGGTGGAAGGGTGGGTATGTTATCTAGTGTTTTCATTATACACTAAGAAATTGACCCAAAACAACTAATCAGCAATGAATAGTCTTGAGTCATTACGTATGTTATTCTGTTGGTCTTGGCATGTGTATTACTTTATTTTTTAAGTAGCAGTTATTCACAGTATCTGCTGCTCTGGCCTCTTGATTTCTTGCCCTTCTCACCCTTAGGGAGCATTTCACTTTCCCTATAAGCCACAAGCAGCAGCCATACCTAAGATCTTATCCTACACTTGTGATTTGTCTCAGAGTTCTTAAACTTGGCGCTCCCTCTTTGTGTTCATACCCTTCCCAATTCTCTCTCTAACTTTCCACCGGACCTGTATGTATTTCTCATTCATTGGGTTTTCTTAATTGATCTCCCCACCACCACTTCATTTCCTTCCCTGTGAGCAGATGGCTTCATCTCCTTTTAAGTTGAAATGCCATCAAGTACCATGAGCTCCTTTGCAGTATTCCTACCTCTTTGCCCATCCTTTTTTATTTCTTCCTCATGAAGAAAAGCTGGTTATCTTTTCAAAACTGCCCTGTCACCTGTGTCTGCAGTTAAATCTCTTCCTACAATCTCTTCCTTCTTAAGGTATTCCATCTCTCTTTAACATTTGTGGTATTTTTTTTAAAAAAAAAAATCTTTATTGATTTCAGAGAGAGGAAAGGAGAGGGAGAGAGAGAGATAGAAACATCAATGATGAGAGAGTCATTGCCTAGCCCTCAACCCAGGCATGTGCCCTGACTGGGAATCAAACCCCGATCGCCTGGATCCTAGGTCGACGCTCAACCGCTGAGCCACGCCCTGCCGGGCTGTGGTATTTTTCTTTCTTCTTTTCATGTAAAGTGGTTAAGTAGTGATTATATTTTTAAGTGAAATGTTCAATTATTTGAACTCTTTGGATTGGCAGGCATAACCTAAAAAACTTTTGATGTTTCCTTTCTCATTTTCCCAGAGATTAAGATTGACTCTTTCCTTTCCTAGATTCTGAAATATTTTTAATCAGGTGAAGTGATTTCATTGCCTAATAGGTCTGTGGATATGTGCGTGTGTTGTTTTTTCCATTGAACCTACAGTAACCAAAGTGTCTGCCGAGGATGATGGGTTGGCGCTGAATGTGGATGGAATAGGTGATCAGGAAGTTATCAAACCTGAAAATGGAGATCATCAAGATAGTACCCTCAAAGAGGATGTTCCGCAACATGCAAAGGATGCTGTCAAGGAAGTTAAAGCAGAGGAAACTAATGAACCATGTACCAGCTCTAGTTCTGAATCTGATTTCCAGGTAACAGATGAAGTAGGAGCCATAAAAGAAATAAAACTTAAACAAAATTAATTATGTAAGCTCTATAGCTTTGGATCTCAATTGCATACTTTGCCTAAAGAAATCGTCTTACAAATCTAAACTATGAAAACACAATAGTTTAAAATACACACTTTAAAACTTACTGTTATTTCAGACAGTGTTTAAGAATCAACGTCTCACCACATTAGAATCACAGTCTGGCTGCAAACTTCAGGAGCTTAAAGCTAAGCATTTTATAAAGAAAGACACTGCCACCTATTGGCCCCTGAACTGGCGTAGCAAGTTATGTACCTGTAAAGACTGTATGGTAAGTACCTGATCAAGTTCAATGTTAGTATGTTTTGTGTACTGATGCCTACCTAATATAAGAACACCTGGAAAGTATATTTCTGAATTGATGTTAGGAGTGCAGAGAAATTTAAAAATTTTATTTTATTTTATTACTTATTTCCATAACTATTTATCCCCCTAATATTCTCTTTCACAAAAATTTTTTATATTAAGCAAATTATGATACAGTATTTGTAATCTAAATGCTTGTGGAAGAAATGAAGAATTATGCATTACTTTTTATTTACTTCATATTAGTAGAAAAATAGCAACTCTTAGCCTTTTTATATTGTAGAACTTCTTGGAAACACAAATTGCTTGAGAGTTACAGTAAGTCAGTGGTTTTTAAGCAAAGATCTCTTAGATCATATAATATCTACTAGGAAGTTGGGAGATTTCTGAAAGAGATTTGGGCAAAAAGAAATCACTCACGCAACTCTGTGGGGAAAGGCTCAGGTTTTCCTGGACATTAATCTAGAGAAACGAAATTTTTAGTGATTCTCACGAGGTTGACTTTCTGAGAATGGCATGCTGTTCTAATGGGGAAACTGGTTTTATTTTTTTTAAAGAAAATGTATGGAGAGCTAGATGTCCTGTTCCTGACAGATGAATATGACACGGTTCTGGCTTATGAAAACAAGGGCAAGGTTGACCAGGCGGCTGACAGGACAGATCCTTTAATGGACACACTTAACAGCATGAACAGAGTCCAACAAGTGGAACTTATTTGTGGTAAATACTGTTTGAGTGTGAGAATTCATGGAGTTCATAAAGTTTTCTTTGCTGTTGGGAAAAAACACACAAACATATATATATATGGAGGACAGTTTATACCTATTGTGTTAATTTAATACAAAGGAAGTTTAAATTTGGAATTGTATAGTAGACCTCAACTATACTTGCTTAAGGGTAATGCTGCTGGGTATTTAGTTACTACTATCATTGAGTCAGCGTTACATGCTAGAGAAGCCACAGTTTGTGCTATTTTGATTGAGGGTAGATGTGTGAGTAAAGAATATTAGAGAGTCAGTGTCTTTTTTCATCCAGTGAAAAATGATTTTCTTTGAGCATGCATGTTATCTTCTTGACAGTTCTTGAGGTTGCTTCAGTGGTTCACAGGAAGCCCAGAGGGGAAAATATCCCCAAACTCTTAATTGCAAGCTTTTACATTCCCCCCAGCATGCCCAATTTATTTTATTGGTCTCTGTCCCAGCCAGTTTCTACAGGGGGCCACCACCTTTGTGCCCCTTTTGTGGCATCGACCGTTTCTCTCTTTTATTTGTAACTATTTGATTAATTTCCTTTTCCCTTCATTAGACTAAAAGCTTTTCGAGGCTGAAAGCTGCATCTAAATGATTTTTGTAGCCCTCAGGGTGCTTCCATACATAATGCAAACTGTTGAGGGAGTGAACAAGTTTTAAAACATAGTATTTGACAAATCTGAGGTGATTTCAGATATTAGAATTCCCGGGAGATAGGAAGCCCTTTTAAAAATCCTTAACTAATGCTTTTGGGAGAGAGGCTATCTTTGGTTTTTGAGTTGTTGTTGCTGTGGTTTTTAATGAAAAAGGTATTATTTTTTAATCCTCTCCTGAGGATATTTTTTCCATTGATTTTTAGAGAGAGTGAAAGGGAGGGAGAAGGGCAGGAGAGAGAGAGAAACATCGATATGAGAGAGACACATCGATTGGTTGCCTCCTGCAGGCGCCCCAACCAGGGCTGAGGATCTAACCTGCAACCCGGGTATATGCCCTTGACCTGAATCAAACTTCGGTGTGTAGGTCAACACCCTAACCACTGAGCCATGTCAGCCAGGGTGAAAAAAGTATCATTTTTGATATCAAAAGGAATTTGGGAAAAACTGGGAACAAATTTCTATGCAGGTTTCATCTAAAGAAAAATCAAAACTATTAACTAAAAAATTGAAACTATTAACTAAAATTTAAACTATAGATACTCAAAAGTCAGTGGTAAGGAAAGATTTTGTTTCTAAAAGCCAATGCCTTCTCTGTTTTGTTTTGGTTTAGAATATAATGACTTGAAGACTGAACTTAAAGATTATCTCAGGAGGTTTGCTGATGAAGGCACGGTATGTTGGGTTAATGAATTTTAATCGTAGCCCTGCGTGTTTTGAATAAACTTTATTTGGTGGGGGAAAAATGCATCTTAAACTAGATAGTTGAGAGTTTAATGCAGGAAGAGCTAACAAAAATCAGTAAGATGTGGTGAGACGCCCACAGACCAGCCACAGTGGGCATCTTTCGCAGCCCTAGCCCAGAAGGAATGAGGGAGGGCGCTTCACACAGGATCGGGAGAGAGTGGCTGTAGCTTGGGAGAATCCCCTGGGGCTTCGAGCTGCTGTTATCTCAGTGTTAGCGTCTAGATCTTGAATCTGTTAGGGGCTCTGATTCCTCACCGGTTGACCTGCAATTTCACTCTTAGTGCTTGTGCAGCTGGCATATCAGCTACTGGTGTGTGGTAGAGTACTGCAGAATGCTACGTTCTTTCATTTAGAGGATTAATAAGTGTCTTTTTCCCCCCAAACATACATTCTTTTGTTTTTTATTCTCACCCGAGGATATTTTTTATTGCTTTTTCAGAGAGAGTGGTGGGGGGGAGAGAGAAAACAAACATAGACTGGTTGCCTCCCATAAGCACCCTGACGAGCTGGGCATTGAGCCTACAGCGAGGTACATGCCCTTGGCTGGAATCGAACCAGGGACCCTTCATTCCTCGGCTGATGTTCTCACCACTGAGCCAAACTGGCCAGGGCCAAACATACATTCTTTTTTTTTTTAATTGATTTTAGAGAGAGGAAGGGAGAGAGAGAGAAACATCAACTGGTTGCCTCCCGTATGCGCCCCAACTGGGAATCAAACCCACAATCTGGGTATGTGTCCTGACTGGGAATTGAACCCATCACCTTTTGGTGTTTAGGACCACGTTCCAACCAATTGAGCCACACTGGCCAGGGCATAAATATTTTATCTTACCCCAAGAAAGCTCTTCAGGTTAGCATTTCCATTTGCGTATGTTAGCAGCACTTTACCCCTGGTGAACAAGAGGAGATTTTCATTTTATATAAAAGTAATTGTCCTTTACCTTTCTCTTGCTCACCTTGCTCACATGCATTCACTACTTTCTCCCTCCTCCCTGCCCCACCTTCATTTCTTCATAACAATAAGCATGTGCTACCTTTGTAATTAAAAGTAATTAATAAACCTGTCTCTTGTGATGGCCCTTAGACAGCTTTAGAGCAGATGACTGGCAAGACTCACTCTTGGGTGTGCAGGGGCTTTATCTGGGCTGTTCCCAGCTTACTTTTTACCCATATTTTCCCTTTGTCTTATTTTCTTACTTTTAATATTTTATTTTGCTTATATCGTAAACACCTTTGTATCATGCTCCAATCCTTTTTCCAATAAAATGGAAGATAAATTTCTCATTTTTACTGCCTAAAATGGATATCCATTTACTAAGAGTGGTGCTTGTGTACTTTTTGCCAGTTACTTTTCTGTTTATGTACAAGCATTTTTAAATTTGGACTCTTGAAGAGGGAAAAGTTTCTAGGTTCCTTTTTTTCAGGAAAGAAGAAAGCACAAATCTCAAAACAAAACACTTTTTTTGGTGGATGCTTATGCAGAACTAAAGGACATCCCCAGAAGACAGGAATGAGGGAGCAGTGGTCGAGGAGACCTTTCCGGTTCTGTCTTTGTGCTGGTTCTGCCACTCTTCTTGCTAATATTTATTGAGAACTTACTATGTGCTAGGAGTGCTCTACAGCACTACATCTCCTCTGCTCTTCAAATGACCCTGTCACATAGGTGCTGCTTTTATATCCTTTTGTATGAGGAAACCCAGCAAGGTGGTGGAACCTACGCCTGGCGCCATATGCTGTTCTGCCAGCTGTGTGAACAGGCCAGTCTCTCTGAGCCTGGATGAACTCTATAACATGGAGATAGTGTAATTAATCACCCATTAAAATAATTCTTATCAGCAGTATTGTTCGACTTGTTTGTGAATGTTTCGACCTGTTACTGCTGTTCTGTAATGTAGTTCCCTTTCCTGATCTTCGCTCTTCATCAACAGGTTGTGAAGAGAGAGGACATCCAGCAGTTCTTTGAAGAGTTTCAGTCAAAAAAGAGAAGAAGAGTGGATGGGATGCAGTATTACTGCAGCTAGAGGGGAGCGCGGAGCCTTCTCGCCCCGCCCCGCCGCTGGAAGTGCGCTCCTGTCCCCGGAATAAAGCCTGTTCACATTTGCTGCTCCTCCATCTCCTTGGAGAGGCCTCTTCCTCTGACCTTGAGCTTCCTTCACTCCTTAACTGCGGTAGCCACAGTGTTTATGCTGATTTCACAACCAGCGTTCTTTCTGACTCAGCTAAAAGCAACTCATTCCACAGACTTCAGCCCCCACCATACCCCCAGTCTATCCAGGGTTTTTTGCTTCTAAGTTTTAAGAAGTTTGATTTGGTTTTGAGAAAGTAAACTAGTTTCTTTTCTAATGTTTTGGTCTTTAACTCCCAAATGTGTCTACTCTGCCACAGAGCTGTTGTCTTCCAGGACCTGCTTTGGGGGCATCTTCCTGCCAGCTGGAACCTCTAGGTCCCCTCACCCCTACGATCGTGGTGCCTTGGGTCAAAGCTTCCTCAAACCTGGTCTGCGCCTTCTCCCACATTCCGCCTTTCTGAGGTTTGGTCGTGGCTTACAAGGGATCTCAGAACTTGTTTCCTCTGGGCCCAGCCTCTGGAGTAGCCAGGACTGATGGTTTTGTGGCCTGGATATCTGTTACAGGCAGGAGATTGGCTGATGGCAGGATTGGGGAAGCCAACCTTTGATAGGAATTTTACTAATACATTTAAAGTGAAAATTTCGTTCACAATTCTACTGGCACTAGCATATTAGAATTCCAGTGCTGTGGTGCTCACAGGGCTTCCCAAGAAAATGTGCCAGTACAGTAGTCCCTCTTCTGCTGCCTAGAAACTAGACCGGCACTACCCTGTGAAATCTCGGTGGTTTACAAAGTCCTCTGGATTTCTTTATATTATCAGGGATATTCATAAGCATATATTAAAAACAAACCTATTTTGATATTGTTCTGTTATGAAAATGTTATTAGAACCCCAGTAAATTATTTCCCCCTTTAAATTGTTCTCACGGAAAAAAGATACTGGCTTAGCTTACTTGTAGTGAGCAGGGCAGTGAGTGCCCCATTGTGGAAGAGGCTGACTGTGTGGAAGGTTCCAAACAAGGCCCTAGGCTGCGCGAATGATGAGCTTTATGTATATAGGCTTTACTGCCCATAGCTGGTTCCTTCATGTCTATGAGATCTTTTGAAGAACCTCATGGAATGTTGTATAAAACCCCATATTTGAGGGGAAGATCTTTCAGTTGGTTTGAAATCTTTAAAGCCCCTCAGGCTATGTGGAAAACACCCTTTGATAAACGGAGTTGCTCTCTCCCTCGAGGCACAAGGTGTGTCCTGACAATAGATGACACACTTTGAGGTATGTGACTATAACCATTTGAGGCTTTCAGGCTACAAGTGTTTATTAATATTCCTTTTGTTCAGCAACCACGTAGACGAATCCCACTGATCCCTGGATGAGATGAACGAGAACTACAGAAAGTCAAGGCCTTAAAGAAATGGTCCGTCCCATGTTTTTCTGCATCCCACCTAAGGACAGATCCTCCTGAAGTGAAGTGCGGAGCTGGAGGTCTTATGACCACAGGAGATGCTGTGTGGCCTGGGCTGGCCTTGTAGGGAAAGGGTAACTGGGCTAGATTGGAAAGCTCAGGGCATACTTGAGGTTGCTTCCAGTCCCCAGCTTGGGAATTCTTCCAAGTCAGGATTTCTGCACCCCCTCTGCAAGGTTGTGTAAGTAGTGGACCATTCTAGCCTGAAAGTTTTTATCTTCCCAAATGTTTAACTACCAGGAAGTTCCTTACTTATGACAGGTCAGGACCAGGTCTCAGAAGTGATGCATTACTGTGCAACACAATCAGATCACCCAGTGCTGAAGGGCTTGTTTTCTGAAAGGCCAGTTCCTCCTTTTACATTAACCAGAAAACCTCTTTTTATACCTATTCACAACTAGTTTTCTTGACTATTGGACCTTCTCGTAGAGACCGATTTTGGCCAACATGTGGCAATTAATGCATGTTTTATGCAAAAGAAGAGTATATTAGTTGCTTTGAAGGAATTCCGGCATTGTATGACCTTTTTTGTAGAATTGTTACTGGACTTAAATTACATACTAAACTCCAATCAGGTTTCTGTAAAATTAAATAAAACCAATTCAAAATAGTGGCTTTTCAGATTGTTTTTAGTCATTTAAGTGTACACAGTCTCTCTCTGCAGGTTGTAACATGAGTGGACTCCGACAGCTCTTCCTGCCCGGGGTCCTGGTCAAGTAGGGGACTGGTTCACTTCTGCTGTTTCCCAGGGTGTGGCCGGCCTGAGGTCCTGGCTCCACCACATCGGGGGAGGCTCCACAATCCCTGTTGGGGTCTAGATAAGCAGCACAAAGAAATGGACTTGGGCTGTGAGTGGTTGCAGTTTGCGCAGGTGCTGCTGTGCAGGGGGCTGGGAGCCCAGTCTCAGAAGAGGAGGTCCCCCTAACGCCATTATTTCAACAGCAAATGTGAAACAAGCCAATATTGTGCCCATCTTTGGCCTTCCCCCAGCTCTTGCTTTGGAAATTTTCAGACTCACGGTCATGGCCCCGTGAGTTGCACTAAGTGAGGGAAGTGCTCTCTGCAGCCCCGGAGCTGCGCACACATCTGAAAGCGCAGGATTATGCAATCGGCAGTGCCGGGAAAACTGCACTCCCGGCTCCCCTCGAGGTCCCTAGTGGAACGGAGGGAAATTAAAAGCAATCCAAGTGCCTATCGGACCTTGGCAGTAGCCCGGTTCAGCTCCCCGTGGAAGAAGAGTGTGTTCAGGGGAATGTGGGAAGTACAGGAAAACAGCCCAGCAGAGCTCCCAGGAGCCAGTGGGGCTGGCTCCCAGTCAGGTCAGAGCAGCTGCCAAACACAAGCTTTGGTCTGAGTGGGCATCGGCATTTGGCACTGGGCCAAAGTCATACTGGTACCTCATTTGTCCCCAGGCCACTGGGCATTAGATAGGTGTGTGCTTCATACTTAAGTCACAGAATCTGTAAGTTGGAAGGGACCTGAGAATTCACCCAGCCTCGCCGCCTCTCAAAACAAGAGTCCCTCCCTCACAGGTGATCTTCACAGGGGACACATGCTAGTCTTGGCCACTTGGTTTCCATGTCCCCATGCTCTTGGTGGCCGTGCCCCAATTTCCAGTTAGCTCTTGGCTCCTCCACTTTCCTGCCATGTGATTTGAGGGGCACTGGCCACGTCCGTCTCCCAGCTGTGGGCACAAATCTGCGAGCAGGGGAAGCCGGACTTAGGAGGAAGCCAACACCCTGGCAGACAAAAAGGAGGGAAAGAAGCCAGCTCTCTGGCGATCCAGGCACTGAGCCTCATTCCACCCCCAGCAGTGCTTGGGGGTAAGTTAGGCCCCTTCCTGGCGCTGGGATGAACAGTGGTCTGTGCTCTTGCTATACCCTCTCACCCCTGGTGCACTCAGCTGTTCTCATTGTAAGAGGCCAGCTGAGGGACACATTGGTGGGGTGGCTGTCAGCGTCACAGCACTTCATGTATAGGGGAATGGGCGTCTCAGCTCCCTCAGGAAAGCTCACCTGGGCTAACAGGCCTGGAGCAAAAATAAAACAGGATAGCACCTGGGATAAAGGGCTGCTTTGGAATAATAAATGCGCCTTCCCCACAGTTCATTTACTAAGCTGCAGTCAAGTCACCGACTTCATTCCCCAGGCTCTTCCTGGTCCATCTGCCCACCAAATGCTGCTGACTGGGGCTCTCCTGCTCTTTCCTGCCTGGCATCCCCTCCCCCCAATGACCTCTTCATGCTGAATGGAAAAACTTGAGACATGTTGTGGGTCATGTTCAAATCACTATTTCACTTTGTAAGAGCATATATTAATATTTGTGAGTTTGTTTGCTTAATATCTGCCCTCCCCACTGTGGATCCTGGCTCAATGCCTGCCACACGATGGGTGCGCCACCGTCTGTGAAATACACGAATGGGAGCGCTCCTTCATGCATCCAAAGGTTTGCTGAGCACAGGCACGAGCCGCAAGCTTTTGTGTACATGATCTCATTTCCACCCATAGTGATCCTAGGGGTATAACTGTCCATCCCCATTTCACAGATGTGGAAACTGAGGCTCCAAGAAGCTGAGGTTCCACAGCTAGTTGATGAGTCCAGGGTCAAATGCACACCCACCTGATCCCAGGCCCTCCCTGCTTGTTTTATTCCACCAGTCTGGCCTCACTAAAGTGGGGCACCTGTGAGCAGTTAATCTCAGGGCAAAAATGACAGACGATGCTGAATCACAGGATGTTGTATTTTGCCCTGGGGTAAAAGAGACATTGACTTTCCTTGGATTTTTGTTTTGGTAAATTAGCTGACATCAATGACAGAACTGAACCCTCTTCCAGCATCTTAACCACTCCAGGGAGGGCTTTCTAAATCTTTCAAGAAAGGAATCCTGCTTAGTCTCCCCAAGCGAGACTGGGATGGAGACCAGCACTGAACCCTTGCTCTTCCCCTGGATCTGATGCCCTCCGTTCTCTCCCTGCCCCCAGCCGCCAAGTCCTATAGATACTGCGCCCGAACTGGATTCATGTTTGAAGTCATCCTCTTGGCTCTTTGAGCTCTTGGGGCTCTTCTCTGGAGAGCCGCCAGCCTCCTGCCTGATTTCCTGACCCCCTCCTGCTCAGCCGAGTGACACGGACCACGTGAACCCAATTGCACTGTGCCTGTTTAAAACCCCCAGCAGCTTCCCGTTGCTGCTAGATCAACGGCTTGAGGGCTGACAAGGTGCGTCCAACCCACCTCTGACCGCACAAAGCTCTCCCCCCAGTGCTCAGCCCGCCTGCCTCAGGCTCCGTCTCTTTCTGGAAGCCTCCCCAGAACCGCTCCTCTTTGCCCTGTGGTCCTGACCTTCCTTGACCTGCATTTTGAAGTCTCCCCAACCCTGGGACCGCCTTACCTCAGTAATTATTCAATGCCTTTTCTTCCTTGAGACCCTAAAATTGTTATCAGAGGGACTGTGACTGTCCTGTTCACTACCGTCCCTCAGGACCCAGCAGTCTGGCAGGTAGACACTGCTTGCTTATTTATAAGGTGAATGAGTGTTTGCTGGACGAAGGAGTACCACGAATGCATGCACTTCCACCCCCGCACGTGTTCCCCCTGCCTGGGCCACTAGACTTTCAGAGCTGGCTCGGTCAACTTGTTAGCTGTGTGACCTTGGACAAGTTACTAGATATCTCTGTGCTTTGGTTGTCTCATTTGTAAAATGGCACTAAAAATAGTATGTAATGCACAAAGGATTAGAGAAAATAGTACCTAATTCACTGATTGAAGAAAAAAAAAGTACTCAGCTCTGAAACCAGCGTATTTCTCCTCAGTCATTCCGGGGCCATGCCAAAGCCGGCCTTCCCCTCAGCGGTGATAATCTCCTGCTATGTACTATTCTGTTTCCAGGACAAAGTCATTTCCAGCAACACTCTGAAGTTTCTGAGAATGGGTATCCTGTCTGCTCTGTCTGGGGCTCCATGGCCCCAGACTCTGGGAAGAGCGGACTCAAACATTCCCTCAGGCACCCAGAAGGCCTAAGGTGGCGGGGAAGCCAGCCTGAACTCACTTTGCCAGGCGAAATCCACAAGTAAAGACATGAAAGTTGACTTTTCTTTTTCAGATTTTTAAGATGCTCACTCACAAAAACCTTAGCTTTTATTTTATCTCGATACTCCACAGTTAAATCTAAGATGGTTACAAAATATAAGAATTGCCTTAGTGAGGCATGAAGGGCGAAATGCTAGGATGGGACTTATTAGTGAAATCATTAAAATAAATTTAAACAACAGCTATTTTATAGCAATTAAAAAATGGAAATTAGAGAACTTTCTATTTTGCATGTTTTTTCAGAAACCTAGACTCTAGATCATGACTCCATTTCCCTTTCAAATAGAAAAATATTAGTAAGCCTGAGCGTGAAAGAGAAAAAGTTCAGACTCTAAGCCAGGTCTCTGAGGCCTGTGAATCTTGGGATCCACCTGGATCTCTGACCATGGCACTTGGCAAATTCCAGGTGCTGGGTCCACATGGGTGGAATGTTGAGCTTCCTCTGGAGACCCCTGTGCAAGTAACTTTGCTCAAATTTGTAAAATAAAATATCTCAGAAATGCCCCAATGAGAAAGTAGAAAATGTAATGACCTTGAGATGAAAACATATTTCCAAGAAAACCACAGTAATTTTTAAAAAAACCTCTGAATAACGGAAATCCTAGAAACAGAGGGGAGGTCACGTAGAAAACTTCCCGGTTCTACCCTAGAGGGTACAATCGCTTCTGGAACTGAAGGTCGCAGGCCACACTGCTAAAACAGACTATCCAACTCAGCAGGTTCTATACAAGCCATTTATTTGAAATGCCAACTATATGTAGGATAAAGTCAGTGTTACATGCTTATCAGTAACAGTAGAAAAATAGAACCAGTGAAAACCTTTGTACAACGGTAATGATACTCAAAAGAGAGATGTATCGTTTTACAATGCTTCACACAGACAAATTCAAGTTTGGAGGTACCTAAATAAAAATACTATATATTTCCTTAAAAAACACTATGTACAATTGAAGCGTAAACAAGTTTTACAAAGTACTGGTTATGCAGGTTGTAGAAAACACTTGCATAGGACATGAAATCAGTTTAAGAAAAATTTCTGAGCCTTTAGCATTGAAGGCACTTGACTTTATACCAGTAACAGCACAACCACAAGAAATGCAGTGTTGTAGAAGTACCACCTCTCTGAAGTTCAGGCGTGGCACATAAACAGCAAGTGAAGTTCAGGAACCTTTACCTTTCAGCCACCCCATCTAAGAGCAGGATTCCAGACACCTGCCCATGGAACACAGTCATGTGCAGGTACGCGACGAAGCTTCCAGAGCTCATCTCATCTCTTAGAACCCACGTAAACACACAGACACAAGAAGTTATTTTCAAGACACACACTTGCAAGTAATCTTTCTATAGAAAATGGCCACAGCATTATAATATTCAGAATATGAAAGATTGCCATACGGTCTGAGTTTTCTAGAGGAAAAAAAATCAAAAGGCTTGCCAATACAACAATTACATAACACCTATTACAATTTATCGGACAAAAAGACAACTGAACATTCATAAAACGTTGCTCATACAACAGTGTTGATAGAAAACAGTAAAAAAAAAATACCTTTTAGGGTGTGATGGTAACTCTTTCAGTAAGGTTATCTGTAATGAGGTTTGAAAGTAAATTGCTTAGTAGACGAAGTAAACCATTGCAGAATTGGGAATAGCACCCATCACTGCTGCTTTAATAACAACTTTCAACAGAAAGTTGAAAATCAATCAAATAATTTTTAAAAAGTCAAATAAACACTTCCCTTTGAGTTCAGTCCTAAGATATAAACATGAATGCCTTAGAATTGCAAAACAAGTATCTTACAAGTGTTTCATGGAGCACATTTCCCCTAAAAGGCAGATTAAACATTACAAAAATACGTATTTTGCTGAGTAGTTACTGAGAAATGTTACCCCTTCCCCTCTAGAGACCAACACATGCAGGCCCAGCTGCCGCACATGCTATTTCCCTCACACTTGCATCATTACCTTAATTCAGTGGACGAGTATTGCCCATTGCTAAAACTTGAACAAAAGAAAACCCAATGAAGGATAGCAATTATAATAAAAGCAGAGTTTTTGAGGGAGCAAAACCAAGAATTAGGTGAAGTTTTAGAGAGTTATACAAAAGCTATTCAAATAAAAAGGACCTCGTTAAAAATCCTTAAAATCTAACCGGTTATCAAAATGTCAGGAGAGCTTAGGTCTAGGGACATGTACCTAGAAAAGGCTGAAGGGCATGTGAGAAAGTGTATGGTATGTGGAAAATTCAAACAATCATTTTTCAGGAATAATTTTTGCCTTTCCTGCTTTTTTCCCTTAGGGGTAACAGGTGCCCTTGAACTTAAATTATTCATCAAAATCACAAAACTAAGAAAAATATAAGAAGACCAACAGTATCCTGAAGAAAAGCCGATGTTCTCTTTCTGATCTGGGACCAAATGGTAGTTCTCTAACCTAAACAAAGTGGGCACCCAAGGTGCCGATTGTCTGACGGCCTGATTGTCCGGGGCCTCCAGATAAGATCTGTTATTCTGAGATTTGGTTCTTATGAAGTTTCTACACCGACTAAAATGCCAGGTCCTGTGGCCAAACTTTATATTATACATGTTCTTTTTTTCTGAGAGCAATCCTACTCAGACTTCACATTTATCTTAGTACAGCATTAAAAGATTTTATTTATTTAATCCTCACCTGAGGATATTTTTTTCCATTGCTTTTCAGAGAAAGTGGAAGGGGGGAGGGAGAGAGAGCAAAACATCAATGTGAGAGAGAAACATCGATTGGTTGCCTCCCACATGTGCCCAACCAGGCGGGGGATTGAGCCTGCAACCGATGTGCGTGCCCTTGGCCAGAATCAAACCTGGGACCTTTCAGTCCGCAGGCCGATGCTTTAACCACTGAGCAAAACTGGCTAGGGCTGCATGAAAAGATTTTATGCTTAGTAGGCATTAAAAAAGATTGACTACATGGGTTCAAAAGCCAGAGGCACAGAGCTGTTCAACCTACCCTATTAACACACTTCACAAGACACACTGAAAGTCCACTAACACCTACCGGAGCGCACACAACAGCCACATCTGTTTACCTTCTGCAAGTCACATCAGTCCACAATCCCATAGGTTAGTTAAAGCAAGTTCTCTTTATACATGTAGTTTACCCAGGTAAGCTACTAAATGATTCAAAGCAAACTTCATAAATTAAAACTATGAACAGCGGCCACTTATTTTTATAATTACACTTTGGGGATATGAAAGAATATTCAATGAATTTTCAGAAAAATACACGTGTGCCACCAATACTTCTTGTCTTTAAAAAAAAAAAAAAGAGATAAAGTTTTTCCCATCCAAATTAACTCTACTTACTCTTATCTGAAGTACAGTCTGAATTCAGAATAGACATTTAAAACTACATCAAAATAATTCATGTCAGCACAGGTATATAAACACACATTAAGGAATATAATGGAATTAACAATTTTCATTTCTGAGAGACAGACTGAGATTGGCTTCAAAAGACACCATCATCTATTATAGAGTCAGACCTCCTAAAAATGAGAACAGAGTCAGTCCTGTTTGTCTATCTTTAAAAAAGGGAGCCTCAAAGGCGATGCACGGCCGACCTTACAGTAGGTTAGTGTTAACTCTGGCACTCAGTACGCAACATCACGACAGGACGACGCACCAGCAGCAGCTAACAAGTCGGGAACAGACGGAGGCAGCAGCGTGCCAGCATACACAGACAGACTGATGTTTCCTGTCTCTGAGATGACCTACTGCTCGGGTTTTTTAAAATGTCAGATTATTCCTGAGTGTATACCACAGGGTAAAGTAGGAAAAGACTGTAAGGGAATCTACAGTTTTGGGAGAAATCAGAGTTGTTGACACCCAATAGAAACCTATTGACTTAAAAGTGCATGTAATTCATTTATATGGTAGCTTGTAAAGGCTCCCTAGCCCTGCATAGTTTTAGAGTGTCAGTGATTCATAGTTATATATATATATATATATATATATACACACACACACACATAAAAGAGGCTCCCAAACATCCTTCACATGAGGGAATGTGCAGAAAGTCTCTTTTCTTCTAAGTGCTACGGCTGTGTGTGTAAAAATACAAAGTGAAAGCTCAAATAATGTTGAAGTGATTTAAAAACTCAAATACTAATATATTTACATTGGAGAGTAAAAAGAAAGTCCTTAGCTCACACATTGCCCTTCCAAGGGAGAGGATCTTAAAAGATCCCATGTGCTCAGTGGTTCAGTAAAATCCCAAACCAGCGTCCCCGGTGGAGTTCAAGTAGGACATGTAGTGTTTCACTGAAAAATATGGTTTTTCTCTTTTGGTGATGAAGCATTATGCATCATACAACTTTTTATAGGACACCAAAATTCAGACACACTTTAAAAAACATTTAAAAGAAAACATATGCTTACAAACACCAAGTGACATCCGTAAGACTGAAGCCCTTTTGTTTTTTGTTTTCTCACAGAGCGCAAGACAACTGAAGGCAGCAAGCAGTCATTTCCCCATGTCAGCTGGAGAGCCGATGACACTCAGAACCAGAAATCCCGTAGTGCAACCTGTAAGTTACTTTACTATCTCCACGGCTTTAGGATTCCAAAAACTCTGATCTCTTTGGAATCTCGTCTCAGATCCTCTAATCCATATACCAGAACCTGCAGTGGTTCGGACAGAGTCCACACTGTGAACACAGCAAGAGCTTTTCAGCCTGGGTACAAAAGGCTTTTTTCCTTCCTGTTCTCTACTGAACTAGAAAACTCCAGGATCCTGATTGGATTACCACTGAAGAAACGAAGACCAGCTCCCAAGGCTTATTAAAAAAATGACAACAGATTAATAGGAACTGAGCAGGAAGATTTCTGAACCAAAACAATTATTGAAAAGAGAGGAGCATTTTGATGTGCTGTTCTTTGGAATTTCTATAATTAAAAAATAAACACAGAACTATTTCATAAGAAAATACATCTTCGTGTGCAATCCAATGCACGTGGAAATTGGTAGATGAATGGTAAAATGCAAAAAGTATGAAAATAGTCCTTTAAATGTGGCGATAAAGTTTAACATACTGATATAAAATCAATACAGATAAAATAAATGTACAAGTGCAAAAAATTTCATCATCTGTAAAGAGAGAAAAAAAAGTGCCAGCTTGCTTGCTCTTAAAAATGCTTCCCCACACAATTGTTCAAACACAAAATAGACAGATGCAGCATTCAAAATAACCCTCTTAGCATGCCATGTCTAATAAACATGTATGTACAAAAACTGGAATAAAATAACGTGAAACTGAGTTATCAGCTGGCATCAATCAACTGGTCTCTAAGTTGCTGGGTTACATCATAAAATGGGATGTTTCACATCTCAGGCACAGGCGACTTGGAGGTTGCTCTCAAAGGGCAGACTTTTTGTAGAGGAAGTCTGGTTTGCTTGGTGACCTCCTTCCTCTGCTTACTGAATCCTCCCTTTCCAAATCTGTATTGCGCTGAGCTCCGTGGCCCAGGGACTCACTGTCTGCTAGCCTTCTATTGGATCGCTCTTCTGGAGCTTCAGAGCTACATGCAGAATGTGAAGGTCTGTTAGGAGTCAGCCCAAAAGTCAAGTCAGTTTCTACCGCTGTCCGTCCCCTGACATGTGCTAGACCACTGCCAGCATTTTCTGGGGCTGCCAGAGGAAAGTCTGACCGCTGGGGAGGTTGCTCAATGACATCGAGGTGTATCGGCTCATTCTTCTGTTTATGTGGATGCCCATCAGGGGAAAGTGGATATTCTCTCCTAGCTTCTTCCTGCTTTTTAGGAGAGGTCTGGCCAGGTAGGTAGGCTGACTTTAAGCCACTTGGTGATGCCTTATTGTGGCTATACAAATCAGGACCAAAATATCCACCTTGCGAAGGGGAAGGGGTACGTTTGCCAGGAGCGGGAGTAGAAGGTCTGCAAGCAGCATTTGAGAAGTCATAGAAATCTGGATATTCCTGATTTTCTCGAGCATCTGTTTTTTGCTCTAGTGTGTGTTTCTTTCGAGACGTGTGTATATGCCTCTGTGGGGCACACGACAGATGCTGGGGAGGCCCTGGTCCTACTTCAGAAACTGACTGGCTTAATTCTGTGTCTACAGCAAGTTCTGGAAGCCTCCTGTCCTTGAGTGACAGTGTGGACACACCCATGGCGATATCTGGCATTAGATCATTTAGCACAGGTTGTGTACACTGCAAACAGAAACAAAGAGGGGAGGGTTAAAAGAATATAGCCCAGGACTCCTTTGTAAAAATGATGTTCACTGATTTTGTTTTGTTTCCTCATTGTAAAACTAATACATGCTTGTTTTTAAGAATGATAAAAATACAGACAACTAAAGGCAAAAAATAGTAATAACCCTAACCTTCCCCAAGATAACCACCTGTTGGCATTTTGAGGTATTTCCTTCACCTTTTTTTCTTTGCATATATAGTAATTATAACAAGATTTAGTGTATATATAATTCTGTCACCAAATTTTCTCTGAGATTACTATTTAAATTACTGTGTAATATTCCATGTCCTGATGACTTATTTAATCATTTTCCCACTGTTGGACATTAAGGTTGTTTTCAATTTTTCATTATTATAATTAAAACGATAATGAACATACAAATAAATTACCTTTAGGGGGAGTTTTTTTAACTGAATTTATTAGGGTGACATTGGTTAATAAAATTATATAGGTTTCAGTGTATATAATTCTACAATACATCATCTGTACCCCAAGGCAAGTCTCCTTCCATCACCATTTATCCCCCCTTTACCCTCTTCTACCCTCAAGGGGAGTTTTATTTAAAACATAAAGTAGTAGAACTTTTGTAATTGTAGAACTGAGAGCCAGGCCAACAGGATGGGAATTTGGTTTATCAAACACGATCCACCTTTGTGATTTCTTCTTTTCTGGGGGGAAGGCACAGCAAGGAGAGTGGGTAGAAGGGCATAAGGTGAGGAACGATCACAATGTGACCCAAGGTGTACACTAGCCCCTAGATTCCAGAAAGCCCCATTTTAATGAAGATTTCCTGGACTAATACATGTGTCTTTTATTTCTCTCTATATTAAATGCTACTGACAGTGTGTGACTGAGCAGGAAGACTTAAAAAGCATTATTGTTTGCTTTTTCAAATATATTATATAAAACAAATTCAACCTCTAATGCAGAGAAAAATCAAGCAAAATCTTCTTGATGAGTTTACTACCTACTAGCGCTGGCTACTGTGGTTCCCAAATGAGGGTTCTGATGACAGCCCTCTAGAGGCAGAGACAGGCAGAAGGACTGCTTTCCTTAATGGGAAGTCTTCTGTCACATTGTTCCTGATGGGATACTTTCTGCCCCATCAAAGAATCTGGTAGAATAATAGATTCTACAGAGCAGACGTTAGGGACAGACTCTAGACATGTGCTTGAAGAGAACACTAAGAAACTGGCAGTACCTGACGATGCCCGCCATACACATCTGAAGTCTCTCCTCTGTCCTTTCTCACTCATCTACATTGTCTCTCTTTTCTATACTGCTCAGTCCATGCTTTCAGCTTGTCAGTAGCACTTCTGGGCATTGCCGAGTTCCAGTAGGGCTCTTGGGGCCAAGGGAATTACTTTCCAATATTCCACAAACTGTTATTTTTAGGTAGGTTCCTGGAGTGCTAACTTACCACTTGTTTCTCAGATGCTGCTGAGGTGGTGGTGGCGGTGGTGGCGGCGGCGGCGGCGGCAGCGGCAGCAGCTACCGTCTGTCTCCCCAGTCCCGCGGTGTTGGTACAGTCAGGTGCCGCTGCTTTAACACCTGGCAGGTAGACTGGAGGGGGGCCGGCTTTAGGAGCCGTTCGGGAGTGAAACAGCGAATGATTACAGGGATAAGAAAACGAACGTGAAGGATGCTGACTGGGAGGTCTTTGCTTCCAGCCTGCTTTGAGTTGGTTATGGATGGGGGTAGCTGGGGGGTGGTACGGAGGTGGTGGAGGGGGCAAGGGTGGATGGAAGGCCACATAAGAGTCTAGATCTGTAAACATGGTTTCTGCAGTGGGATTGCTGTTAACACGACATCTCCCAGACTGTCTCATCGTCAAGAGTGGACTTTCATCCCCAAAACGTTCATCAGGAAAGAACTTGTGAGGATTCTAAGAAAGATTAAAGAGAAAAAAACCAAGAGATTAGCAGATTTCATAGATGAAAATTCACAGGCTGAGTTAAGTGAAGACCTAAGAAAACCACATTCAGCAACAATAAAAGGCATAACATATTTTTCTAGGCCACAAGCTTCCAAGAAAAAATTACCTTAATAATAGTACAAAAGGAGAGAGTGTAGCCTCTGTAGCCTACCATACAGCTATCAAAAAGAGCTGCTTCACTGATGATTCCAGCAAGCAGGGCAGTAATCTCTCGCAAGATTATGTAATAATGAAAAAACAGGAAATAAAATCTTATTCAAATTTGTCTTTGCTAAGAAAATAAAATGACCAATAAACACCAAAGGAAAAAAAAGACCGAGGTGAGGATCCTGCTAGAATTTTCTGACAACACATGTGCACTCTCAGTCTAAAATTAAAACTACAAAATACTACTCCTTACCTAGTATATGGAAATAAGATGGACTACTATTTTGATAAACACTGTAAGGGAATACTTAAATTATAAAACTTTTATATAATTTAAGATGTAAAATTAAGATACCATTTAGAATGGCAAAAGAAAGAGAAATTAATATAAAATAAGACTCTCTTTGTAGGGATGGAAACCATAACAAATAATGAAAATCAGGAATCCACAAATGGCCGACTGTCTTGCCTAAGAACAACATACCATGTTCCCCTTTGAAGACTTAGGCTAAAGGGGTTTGGAGTCTGTGGCAAGAAAACAATTCAATCAACTCGATCAGATGAAATTAAATTTTATTTTAGGTTCTGATTTAGTGGCTCTGAGCAGACTACAGTAGTCCCACCTTGTCAGAGGTTTTGCTTTCCTCAGTTTCAGTTACCCTCAGTAAACCAAGGTCCAAAAAAACTATGTGGAAAATTCTAGAAAAACAATTTGCAAGTTTTAAATTGTGAGCGATCTTGAGCAGAATGATGAAATCTGGTATCATCCCACCCTGTCCTGCCTAGGATGTGAATCATCCTTGTCCAGGGTCTCCATGCTGTACATACAGCACGATATTTTGAGAGAAACCACACTCACATAACTTGTATTATAGTATTATATATTGTTATAATTGTTTTATTTCATTATTACTTATTGTTTTAATTTCTTACAGTGCCTAACTTTATCACAGCAATGTATATGTATAGGAAAAAACATAGTATACATAGGATTTCTTCAATATTATCCAGTTTCAGGCACGCACTTGGAATGTATCCCTGTGGATAAGATTGGGGGGGACACTATTGTACTTTACAAATTCTATCTTCATTGCAAAACCAATGCCATTGCAATAATTACTAGAAATGAGTTTTTCCTGCTCGTTAAAAACACAACTCATTTCTTGATTCCAGTGCTTATAGGTGTGAACCATCATGCAAAAGATTTCTTGCAGGAAGGGGAGGAGAGAAAAAGGGGGCATCTGGAAGGCCTCCAAGTACAGCAGGGGCCAAAACCTGAAATCTAGTGACCAGACCGGAGGGAGAGCAGTGGAGGGCCAGAATTTTCTACTTCATCTTTCATTTCTGTTCGACATACATACCACGAACTTTTAGTAGTCACCATTTATATGTTTATTACAATACAAGAGACAAGCTGCTTTATAATAATGCAACTCTTATCTTCCCAACAATCCATATGACACATAAGGAAACTGATGCTCGGAGTGGTTAAGTAACTGCTTGGAGTGGTTAATTAACTGGTTGGTAAGCAGCAGAGCCAGGATATAACCCAGTTCTTATTCCAGAGCCCTTGCTACATCCATGCTTCCACTGCCTCAAGGCAAGTTAACACACTAGAGGCAGTGAGAGGGTTAGGAAAAAGACCCGTGCTGTGAGAGCTCCCGCCACATCTACAATACTGCCTGAAGAAGGATCCAGGCTCCCGATTTGAAACAGTGTAATGCAGTTCCCCACCTGCAAGAGCTCTGCAGCAGCATCAGCAAGGCCAAACTCTCTCAGTACCCGAATCTGGATTTCATAGCTGACTGTGGCGCCTTCCCCGCAGTTCAGCGCATAGGCTCTCTGCACCTGCTCAGTGTGTCGGAGCTCCTGCAGACGCCTGACCATGTCTTTCAAAATGAGGAGACGAGGAACTGGAAGAAGGAAAACTGTTTGTAGGCAAATACCTGAGCTACACAAAAGACCAACCATTAAGCACAAGAAAAAAAGCATGTGTTTTACATCAGAATCTTATTTTAATTTCCTAGCAACTTAGTGCTGTATACACTTCTAATTTTAAACTTATTTATTGGTTTTAGAGAGAAAGGGAAGGAGAGGGAGAGGAAGGGGAAGGGGGAGAGGGAGAGGAGAGGAGGAAGACAGGGGGAGAAACACTGATTTGTTGTTCACTTATTTACGAGTTCACTGGTTGATACTTGTATGTGCCCTGACTGGGAATTGAACCCACAACCTTGACGTATGGAGATGACTCTCTAACCAACTGAGCTACCTAGCCAGGGCTACTTCTAGTTATCTTTTAAGGATTTAAAATTTCACTGTGCCCAAAACTTTTAATAATACCAAACAGCTCCTGAGCTGTATTATTAATTCATGCCCTAATAAAATTTCACTTGCATAATTTTCTTCTAAATTTCAGGATATTCCCTAAGTTTTTTCGTTGTTAAACCTCGCCCGAGGATTTCCCCCCACTGATTTTTAGAGAGAATGGGGTGGGGGGGGGAGGGGGAGACACTGATGTGAGAGAGAGACATCGATTGGCTGCTTCCCGCATGTGCCCCAACTCGGGCCCAGGATCGAACCTGCAACCGTTACAGGTGCCCTTGACCAGGAATTCAACCCTCCACCCTTTGGTGCACAGGTCAACATTCTAACCACTGAGCCCACCAGCCAGGGCTATTTCCTAAGTTTTTAAAATGTATTCATTCTTTTATTCACATAACTTTTGAGTCCTGACTATGCACTAGGGATTGGACTCAAGTATTAGGGTGCACAGAACAAAGGTGTGATCCCTGTCCTTAAAGAACTCTAGTTTTAGTGAAGTAAACCAAGTAAGACAGTACAGTATAGAGCCACAAATGGTCATGGAGAGAAATATTGCAAAGAATACCTAAGGGATTTGAAGGAAGCGGCCCTCAACCTGGACTGAAGGCAGGCAGGGAAGGCTTCCTAGACAAGGTGAACCCTGAGTGCAGCCATGAAGAATGAGAGAAAACCAGGCAGACAAAGAATATGGAGTGAAGGCTTTCTGAGCAGAAGGACCAGGCATGTGTGAAATATGCAAACGAAAGACAGTGTGGCACAAGAAGCTGGCATGGCTAGAACTTAGGGTTCAAAAGTACAAGCATTAAGAGAGAAGAAGAGCATTAAGAGAGAAGGCTAGAAAGATGGGTGGAGCAGATCATGAACGATCCTGCATGTCACAAAAAGGGATTTAAATTGTATTTTGTGTACGACAGGTAGTCACCTATGCAGGGGAATGAGGGGAACAGAACCATGATGTGGTAAGTGCACTCTGAGAGTAGTATCAAGCAGGGGTCGGCAAACTAGGGACTGTAGGCTACATCAAGCCTGTTGGCTGTTTTTGTAAATAAAGTTTTACTGCCCAGCTGGTGTGGCTCAAAGGTTGAGCACTGACCCATGCACCAGTTCAATTCCCAGTCAGGGCACATGCCCAGGTTGCAGGCTCAATCCCCAGTAGGGGGTGTGTAGGAGGCAGTCGATCAATGCTGATGTTTCTCTGTCATCAGTGTTTCTACCTTTTTCTCCCTCTTCTTTCCTCTTGCTCTAAAATCAATTAAGAAAACATTTAAGAAAATTAAAAATTAAAGTTTTACTGGCACAGTCATACCCATCTGTTCAGGTACTGTCTATGGCTGCTTTTGGCCTACAACAGCAGAGTTGAGTAGCTGTGACAGAAACTGCATAACCCATAGGCCTATATTTACCATCTGGCACCTCATAGAAAAACTTTGCTGAGCCCTGGTGTAAAGTCCAGAAGGGGAGTGAGCAAGGTTAGAGGCAGGAACATGGGTTAGGAACCTGGAGTAAGGCTGCAGTAGAGGGCTGGGAAAGAAGGACTGAGGCCCATAAACATTATGAGCCAAACTGGCTATTATTTGGAGGGCAACGGGAGCTATTACTGAATGCTTGCTTTGTGCCAGGCAAACTCCTAAGCATATTACTCATGGTACTTGCTTATGTCTTCACAATAACCCTAGAAAGGAGATATCCCCATTTTGCAGATAAGGAAATTAATGTGCAGGGAAGTAGACAGCTTGTCCAAAGTCATATAAATGAAGGGGCAGAGCCAGAATATGAGCCAATAAGATAAACGGCCTTTCATTAGAGCATGGTGAGCACGTTAGAATCAGGATGACACCAGAACAGGGTTAAACAACAGAAAATAATTAAACAAGTCTTATTTTTGTGAGCATACTTAACTGTGAGTACGTTTGGGCTTTTTAGATTCAGTTCTAAGATTAAATTGTGTTGCTATTCAAGTATTAACTCAAGCCGATAAAAACAGTGCTAATTATGAAAGCTTTAAAATCTGCACTAATTGCTACAGAAATACTTCTCTTCATACTGTAATCCAATGTATACTTTAAACAAACACGTAGCTGACAAACCTGATAAGGCAACAACAGATCAGATTTTTGTCCCAGAACAAAATGTACGTGTTGAATTAAAAACTGTCATTATGTCTTTTACTTATCCTTACTTGAAACCGAAAGCAGAAAATGAATAATTTTCCATTTCCAATAATGCTATATAGTTTGCTGATTAAAAAAATAAATCTTGCAATAGTAACTAGCAAGAGCTATAAATTTCTGACCCCAGACATTTATAAAAAATCTGTGCTGTTAATTTCCTTACCTTAGAAAATGACATTAGGGCCCTTTGGTTAAAGTAAACATCAATCAATGTTCATAAGTTTTTGAACATTGACAGCTATACCCCTACCTATGGCAGCTTTCCTCAGAGTTTTAAGACTACACTACAATAAAATTCACAGACCAGATCTTGGGAAACTGGATCTTCAGGAAACCAATGGTAATCACATTTTTGGGGGACATACTCTCCCTAATGGGTCTTATAATGTGAGAAATACCCTATGGCAATGTCTAGAAACATAAAAATGTTTCTGAAAGGTTACAAAGGGATGTGTGTGCATGTATGCTACTGGTATCTAGTGAGTCCAGGGCAGGGATGCTGCTAAACACCCCACACGCCCAGGACAGCACCCACAACAAAGAATTATCCGGCCCTAACTGTCTACCGGGCCAGTGTTTTTTAAAAATATATCTTTATTGATTTCAGAGAGAAGAAAGGAGAGGGAGAGAGAGAGAAACATCAATGATGAGAGAGTCATTGATTGAGCCCACAACCTGGGCATGTGCCCTGACCAGGAATCGAACCCCAATCGCCTGGATCCTAGGGTCGATGCTCAACCGCTGAGCCACGCCCGGCTGGGCACCGGGCCAGTGTTGAGAAACCCTGGGTGAGACTGAAAATTGTATATACCTGTTACTATAAAATAAAATTCAAAACAAAAAGCTCAGCTTATAAGTATTTACTCTTTGATGAGGACAATGCACAGGCATAGTAAACGGAGAGAGCTGCACATATAAAGGGATTCCAAAAAGATTGGATTACTTATGTGAGTATGAATGCCTAAAACAAGGGTACTGCCTTACCTGGAATTTCATTGGCTACCACCGAAGGAGGGCTTGACTGGTTACTGCTGATCTGCTGGTGGCTGATCATGTGACAGCACTGTGGTACGGCATTACTGACCATGTAAAGAGTGTCAGGCACATTGGACATTCTAACCATTCGCAAACGCACAAGATCTGTTTGTTCCACCATCATCTCGTCTAGCACTGACTGAAATAACAATTCAGTATTAACAGAATTAGTCAACCCTTCATCTCTGTTAAATCACATTTGAAAAAAGATTATTACTTTCATCGTATAAAAAGGGAATTACTTTACTGTTTTCAGTGTATGAAGTTTATAATTAGTGGTGAAAGGAGAAAGTGCCCCTACCTCTTTAATTTTTAAAGGTTCTTTTGGAGTATCTTTGGAAAAAAATAACCATCTTCTGAAAAGTTTCCTTTTAATTGAAGTATTTGAAATTTAAAGGAAGGATAGAAAATTAATCAGAAGTAAATTACGCATAAAGTTACTATAAAAAAAACATGTTTACATGGGCTAAACATCAGATCAAAAAGAGGCCCTGGCTGGTGTGGCTCAGTTGGCTGGGAGTCATCCAGTGACCAAAAGGTTGCTGGTTTGACTTCTGGTGAGGGCACATGCCTGGGTTGCAGGCTTGATTACCTGGTAGGGGGCGTGCAGGAGGCTGCCAATCAATGTTCTGCTCTAAATCAATGTTTCTCTCCCTCCCTTTCTCTCTAAAAATCAATTTAAAAAAAAGTGCTCAAAAGACAAAGTATTAAAAACTGATATTAAACTGAACAGACCTATAAGTAAATCCAATTGTTAAAAATCAGTTTTAATCTATTTCACTAAACTGCAGAACGGTCAAAATGATATAATATATAAACATTTTCCATGTTTACTGGGGCAATTATCTACTTATGTATGGGTACAGCCATCTGAGAAACAGGACGTTCCAGGAGGACTACTGATGAGCTTACTTTTTGAAACAGAGCAGAATGGAGGTAGGTCTAGTTTATCACAGACCTTTTATCACCAGACTCAACCTTTTGTAAAGGCCTCAGCTGCTTCAGTGAGTCTGAGTATGGAACTTATTTTAAAAAGACCAGGCACAACCATTCTGCTTTTCCCCTCAGTTTTAGAACTATTTAAAATGTCAACCAGTCAATAAGAGGAGGATTATCAACCTAGTCAACAAAATAAACTCACAAATGCTTTCATGTAACAAAATATAGTAATTCTATACCCAAACACACACTGTTTCACCTGTTAATTTATTTCATAAAGCTTAATTGTGATTTCTGACTTTCAAAGACTATTCCTCAAAAGGCCACCCCAAAGTTCTTAAGGCTGAATACATCTAATAAAAATTACAGTATTTCATTTTACTTTAATTAATTTATTTTAAAAAATATATCTTTATTGATTTGAGAAAGAGGAAAGGAGAGGGAGAGAGAGATAGAAACATCAATGATTAAGAGAGTCATTGATCGACTGCCTCCTGCATGCCCACTGGGGATCAAGCCCGGGCATGTGCCCTGACCGGGAATCGAACCCCGATTGCCTGGATCCTAGGTCAATGCTTAACCGCTGAGCCACGCCTGGCCGGGCCAGTATTTCATTTTCACATTACCATATTTTCTAGAAGAATTGTTATAATATTCATAATGCTGATTTGCTTAATAGACTAGAAATTTTTTCTTACTGTGTGAACTATTACAAAACTAAATACAACTTCCAAAAGCCAGCCATCACAGAAATGTGTTACAAGAAATGGCAGCATTTCTTTAGTTTATGAAGGAAGACAAAATGTGTGCTACCACCTTTCAGGACATTTTCCCATGCTGAAGATCACAAAATACTGACAACCATTTCAATAAAATAAAACTTTCTTTCAGGTTAACATTTTGCAAGACCGACTATGATGAGAAAAATGTAAAATGCAATTTAACATGGCCTAAGTTATAAAAACATGCTTCATAATTAAACAGAAAAGTATTCTGCTGAGTAGTCAAACTAGAATTTATGTTCACTTTCCCAATTACTGGACATGTACGCCATTTCCAAATATTTATATAATGACAATAAATATCTTTGTGCTTACAGTTTATAATAAAGTGGTCTAATATCTGAAAATGTTTTTCATTACCTTTGCTTCCTCCACATAGGGAGAGAAGAGTCGAGGACGAACATATATTCCAGCATTTTTTTGCCGTAACCAGGCATTTGACTTTCCACCTTCTGATGTAGGAAGCATATCTGATGGAGGAGTACTAATCAAGCCTCTTTTCATCTTGGAAAAAAATTATTTTTTATAAAGAGATTTGTGTAGCACTACAATACTAAGATAAAAGTAATTATACCTATAAATCAAAATATCCAAACTTTACCATTTGTATAAATATTTAGAAATACATGGAAATTTAAAAATACTTCAAATGTTTAATAATATTTAAAGGACTCGGAAATAAAAGGTAGTATAATTTCCTATTTTTTCTCTATATAGAGGAATGGTGTTTTTAAACAAGAGCTGTATTAATTAAAAATGTAATGAATTGGACTAAATTTCAGAACTCTTAATGAAAAACCAATCTTAGTTTTTTTTCTTACTCATCCAGAACTGATTCCATCCCCAACCCAGCCCCCTCCTTGCCAAGACAAAACAAGAACTAGAGGGCCTTGTATCTACAGTACAAGGATACAGGTGGTGTATATAGTGCTTAGGGGCAGTGACTCTAGGGGAAGGGAGACTTGGCTCCTCATTTAACAGCCTTGTGGCTGTAAACATCTTTTTTAAAAATTTATCTTCATTGTTGAAAGTATTACAGATGTCTCCCTTTTTCCCTCCATTGACCCCCTCCACTCCTTTGTTCCTCCCCCTGGCCTTCATCACACTATTGCATGTGCCCATGGGTTATGCATATATGCATATAAGTTCTTTGGTTAATCTCCCCCCCCCC